CCAAACAACAACACTCACGTTTTGTCACCTTGGACTCTGTCAAAAAATAAATTGTTTTTCCAAGAAAGAAAAAAAAAATCAATTCACGTCTGTCCTACCAAGGATAAATAATTAGTGTGCGCGTGTGTGTCAATCGTATCACAAAACTTTTTAAAATTTTTTTTTAAAAAATGTCTTCAGGAAATCACAAAAGAAGCAATAATAATAAGTATGGTGCAAAGAAGGGGTAAGTGTTTTAAGAAGGATGGTGGTGGTGGTTATCGCCCGCCACTCGTTGTCACTCTAGTTATTATGATAAGATGAATAGAATAAAGCTTTTTTTTAAAAATACAAAGAAAATAATAATAATCAATTTGATTTTATATTTATTCGATTAGGAGTAACAATAGTGAAGTTGAAGGTATAGAATTTTACGAAAATCAAGAGTACAATAATAATAAGGAAAACATCGTGGAAAAAGAAGCACATTCGGAGGGATCTACAACAAAAAAAGAAGAACATATAAATATATTCAGCATGACTTACCAAAGGAACTATTTCTGGGTTTACAATTAATTCCTTTGATAGGTTGTAAATGGGAATGGCAAAATGTTTGTATCTCATTTCAAGAGAACACGAAAAATATACAAACATGAGACAGCTTTCCTTTTTTTTTTTTTTTTCCTAATATAAATTTTTAATTTTCAATTTTCATGAATTTTATTTTTTAAAATAGACCATTACAAATAGGAGTGATGAACTTCAATAATATATTATGTTCCAAACATCTTCCACCATTGTTGATTCCTTACATTCAAAGACAATTGGAAAATGATGATTTTGAAAAGATTTTTTTCGACGATAAAAAAGAACGTTGGTTTAATAAGTTCATTATAGATATTGATGCGGAGGTTGAACAATATCTGGATCATTTCCAAAACTGTGTAAGTGTCTAATCTTCAAAAAATTTAAATTCAATACTAAAATTAATTATATGTATATTATTCATTATAGAGAACATTAGACACATTGCATCGGTCCATTAATGAAAATTCTATTTATAACAATACGAATATTAATCCCGATATCAGATATGCACATCAATTCATCAATCACATGTAACGTTAAAAGCCTTTTAATCTTATAGAATCATTTAAAGGATGAAACCTTTGTTACTAATATGAACAATTTATATTACTATTTTTGTAACCAGGTTAAGGTTGCGGGAGAAACTCCTCCAGAAATCAATTGACAGAGTTTCAGCAGGTTGCACATTAATTGTTTATTAGAGTTTCGGCAGATTTTCGCATTTGGGGTTTTCACCAATCATCATAGTTTTGACAGGTTACACATTAATTGTTCTTAGAGTTTTGACAGAGTTTCAACAGTCATTAAGAGGTTTCGCCCACAACCTTAAACCAGGTACAACCTTTATATAGATGATATTTTAAGTAGAACCATGACTGAGAATGAATATGACATTTACGTTTGTACACCACTGATACGTTTTGCATTTTTAGGAAAAAATGACATACGTATTTCTAGGTACATTATAATCTTATTTTATAGTGTATGAAATTCAACTTATAACCAGTACAAATTTAGAAACTACAAACAGAAATTTTTGATTTGATTAGATAATTTCCACAAACGCTATACTTAATTTTGTACACTGATAACAATTTTGAGAATTTTATTCAACATAATTTAGTGGTGAAGTTTCGTCAAAATCATATGAAAGTCTTAAAAAACTTGCCCAGTTACAAACTAGATCTGGACCAAGACTTGATGCCAAAGCATTTATTTTATCAACTGGAGTAGAAGTATTGGTTCAAGAAAATGCAAAAAATGATATTTATAGTAAACGGACAAATGACTTGTCAAAATTGGAATACTGCACCAAAATCTTACTGTCAAGTGCTTTTCTGGCCTTACCTCCTGCAGCTCAATCTGAAATATATAAGTTTGAAACTTACACAATTCAAACCAATGGTAAATAGTCCTTCTTCACATATCTTACAAATAATGTTTATAACATTGTTCGATATTGTAATGTTTTCTCTTTTTTAGAACTTACGTTAAAATTGGGTGTATCATCATATATGTTTGAAGAAGTGATATGTATGCTTGAATTAACTGAAATAACCATTCCACAAACCATAGAAGCATTTCCAAAATGCATAGAAGCTATATACAAGGTGCTTTCATGGAAAGTTAGTATCCTAAATTTACTATTATTTTTTTCTGTATTTTTTTTCTTTACTGATTTAAAATCTTCCATTTTATAAGTCTCGTTCACGAAGAAATACCAATATTTATCATGAATTGTTAAGTAAGGCTTCAAGCGATTTAAAAAAAAAGAAATTTTTTCCATCACCAAGGTTATTAAATCCTAATTACATGTAAGTTTGTCAAAAAAATTTTTTTCACCAATATTGACATCATTGCCAGTGTTCGAAATTCAATCGGCGGAATCGGCGCGCGCAGTAAGTTACACAAAATTTTGTGTGCGCAAAATTTTTTAACAAATCTAATGTGCGGATTTTAATATTAATATTAAAAATTAAAAACTTCCTTCCACATAATAATTAACAATAATAATAAATAAATAATCAATTATTAATAAATAATAAAATAATAATTAAAATAAAATAGCACTTATTATTCCTCTTTCAAATGCTAATGTTGAAAGAATATTTTCTCAAACAAAATTAATTAAGGATAAAATAAGAAACAAAATGAATATTAGCACATTAAATAAACATTTAATTATTAAATTAAATGGACCTGATATTGAGGATTTTAATTTTGAGAATGCATATGAACATTGGATAAATAAAAAAAGTAGAAGAATTTTTTTTTAGAAGTAATTTTTGTAATTTAAAAAAAATAAATCGGAAAAAAATTTTTTTTTTAATTGGATAATTTGGATGTGCGCAAAAAAATTCTTGCAGATCGAATTTCGAACACTGTTTGTCAATCAACCAATATCGAATACCCCATTAAATTTTGTATATAGGTTTTTCCAAAATTCCGGTCAAAAAATTAGGAATTTCCTGTAATATATAGGAAGTATTAACTCCTTTTTGGGAGTTATTTATTTTCATAAATAATTGATATTTTTAATGATAATAGTTATTCATATCGTCTAAACTCTTCATCTTTGTTAAATTACTTTATTTTTTAATAGTTTGCCTTGGGGATAAAGATACATAGATGATAATAATATTTAGAAATAAAGAGAGAAAAATAATAATCGATGATATTATATTTTTATCTATAATATGAATAATAATTTACAAAATAATAAAATAATAATAATAATAATAATAATAATAATAATAATAATAAATAGTATTAAAATTAAAAAAATTTTAGTTTTTTTGTGGTGGGTAACCTGATCCTAAATTATTTTGTGGTGGGTAACCTGATCCTAAAATATTTTGCGGTGGATATGCATAGTTTGGAACACTAACACTTGGAGTAGGAGTAGGAATAGGAATAGGAAACGATACAGATAATGATGGATCATTTGAAGGTGGTAGTGAAGAAACTAAAGGATATCCACCACCAAAATTATTATTTGATGGAGGATAACCTTGTTGAATAGGTGGTGGCGGAAAAAAGCTTGCTGAATTTTGTTGTGGTGACATTAATGGGTTAATTGGTGGATAAATATTTTGAGGTGGATAGGCTGTTGAGTTTGCGATTTGAGCATATTGACCACTATTGTTGTTATTGATTGGAGGAATACTATTTAATTGACCACTATTGTTGTTATTGATTGGAGGAATGCTATTGAATTGACCACTATTATTGACTGAAAGTGGAGGTGGATATTGGTTACTGTTGTTGGCATTGATTGGAGGTGGATATTGGTTACTGTTGTTGGTATTGATTGGAGGTGGATATTGGTTATTATTGTTGATTGGAAGTGGATATTGGTTACTGTTGTTGGCATTTATTGGAGGAATAAATTGGTTACTATTGTTGGTATTTACTGGAGGTGGATATGCATTTGGGGGTACAAAAGCAGCTGGCGCTGACGTGGTAGAAGCAACAGCAGCAGGAGCAATAAAAGAAGCAGGTGGCGGCGATGAAACAGGCGATTCAGATTTTGGTCTTGAGGGTAGTTTTTTTCGTTGTAGAGGAATCCCTGCTCCACCTACTGCATAAAATGTCATTTCAAGAAAAACTTCTCCTGCATATTTACTACCATATTTAAGTTCATGCCATTCTAATCATTAACAATAAATTAATTAATTAATTAATTGTTTAACAAAAAGTAAATGCCTGCGAATGACAATTTTAATAGTTACCATCCCATTCACCCTTGGTTAAAACTTCATTTAGATCAATAGTTCTATCACCAATAAGTTGAGGATCTCTTTTATCTTCATTATAAACTTTAACTATCATCTTTTTATGAGATGACGTTTCAAGAATATCAAAACGCACTTCTTTATCCCAGATTGGATGCTGACCTCCTCTTTTATCTGCAGGAATTCTTTCTTCCTTGTCGCTTATACGAAATGTAGCATAAGGATCTCCTTTACCAAACACTTCACGAGCTGCTAAATTCCTCTATTTTTACAAGAATACAAAGATAATAAATAAAAATAGAATTCTATATTTTTTTATCATAATTATAACAAAACCTACAGCTTTTAAAGCTACAACCACAAGCGTTCCTATTTTTTTAGTACTAGTCATCTTTGAATGGTTTTTTATTTTTTAAGATATAAAAGAATTGAAAATTTTTTTTTATAAATATGTTCAACAAATTCTCACACATACAAAAAAAGCAAAATCAGGGGCTCAAATTTTAGAAATATATAGTAAGTGATTGTTTACAATAGAACATGTGAGACATTGGATCATTTGGAATCATTTGGCATATGCAAAACAAAGCGAACATTATGTCACAGGAAATTACAGGGATCAAATTGCACAAGTTTCTTCTTTTCACTTTGAGTTTTGACTTTGGTTTCATCCAATTTGTTTTGTTTCAGCCTGGGCAGCATTGGATTTTTCTTTTCACAAGACTTTGAATAATGTTTTGTTGTCAGGTTTTGTTTTTCTAATTCTTTAATATTAACTTGATTTTGTAGCTTTTTTAATTTTTGGGGTTATTTTCCTTATTATCACTTAATATTAAATATTTTATTCATTATATAAATGTCTTTTATCTCCAAGCTTAATTACCATCTCTAATTGGCTTATGTATTTGTTCTTCCCCTCAATTAATAAAATACTCATAATATTCCTTATCTTTTTTCTGGCGTTGCAGATTTTATTTTGGGTTTCCTCTTTCTTTGCTCTTCACTTGACTTTAGTATTCAATGATTCTTTTAAAATTTTAAATTTCCTGGTTTAAAATTATTGTCTCATTTTTTTTTTTTAAGTCGTTCATTCTCTGTTCTTGTTCACGGTCTATCTGCTTGTAAATTATCAATTAAATGCTAATTGAATTTTTTTTAGAATACGTCACACCAAAAACATCGGCTAAGCTAAAAACGTTCTTCATAAATTTGCATGCATGGTTAGTATTATTGAACCAATTTCATTAGAAAAATCTTTGAAATTAGCCGGAAATCATTAAAATTAAGAATAAACGAGCAAAATTTGAAGTAATAATGATTATATAGATTATTAATAAATTGTTCAGGCATCCATTGATTCCAAAGTGTATATTTGATTGAATCATTGATACAAAGGCTTGGAAACTTATACTTACGTTGATGATTCAACATTGTTATGTAAACTGTATATATGAACCAATATATATATACCGTATTGTCTGGAATATAAGCAACACAATTCTAACATGTTAGTCAACAAAACTGTAGGTGGTGCTTATACTCGAGACATTTTGTTCGCGTTACATTATGTTTTCTTATCATTTGTTCATTTTCCCCCACAGCAATGCCAAAAGTCAAACATTCTTCACATTCTGTTGCTGAAAAGCTCCAAGTTTTACAATATGCAATCAATATGGTTTAATACCAGCTGGGTGTCATTTTACTATCGATCCTTCAATGATTTCTCGTTGGCAAAAAAAAAAAGAGGAAGAACTCGATTTAGTAAAAGAAAAAAAAAAGAAGACGAATTGGTAATAATTTAGGAAGAAAAGCAAAATATCTTGAGGCTGTAGCTGACTTAAAGGCATGCATTGTTGAATTAGAAGGGGAAGAGTCCAGTGATTCTAGAAAAACACTTCTCTAAGAATTTAGATGTTGGATCCACAATTCTCATAGATATGAATAACTGTAAATAGTAAAAAATAAGATGACATACTCTTTATTTTCCTAAAGCCTGCGCCAATCCATCCCCAAAAAATTCACTTTAATAACCATAAAGTGAGTATCTTTATTGGCAGTTGTTCTTCGTTTCGGTTAGCGATTAAATAGTCAAGCGACATCCCTATTTCAATCAGTTGAAATTGGAGTTGTTTTGAAATAAAGTTCAGAATACGCAGAAAGATACTGATATGATACTCTTTGACTTTTTGAATATTATGATTTCAACTAAAGATGGCATCTCAATTAATTACGACTAGTCTGCAACTAATTGAGGTTCTCTCTCATCTTTAACTTTAGCCAAGCACATGTCAATAATGATCCCCTGCAGGATTTTTACATGAAGACATTTCATGAAGATCAGTGAAAAAAGGAACTTTTAACCACCTGATCCAAGGCCCTATACACTTCCGACAGATTGTTTAGGATACGATCGAGTTCCTTTGGTACTTCGTTCCAAGATTTATCACCTTCAAATTGAAATTTGTCAGCTCCCCTTGATTGGGTGGAGTCAACATTGAAAAGCGCATTATACTGACATTTGCAGAAGACAGATAGTGCATAGAGCATGTCATTATATGATTTTGTATTTAAAGAGCCTATATAAAAAAGGGCAACAAAATTTCAACTTAGCATCTCAAGTAATCGGAATAAGTCCAAAAGGCGGATGGCTTTCTGAACCTCTTCAATTTCTTTCTCTGCCAAATTTTTGGGAAAGTTTATGAATTTTTTCATTGGCCCATGAACTTTTTGTGTTTAGTCAAAAAATTACGAATTTGATCAATCATATGCTTTTTTTCAGTCATTGTGATATTAGGGATAGCCTTGAAAAAGGATATCACCGCATTGCAATTTTTTGTCCTTTCACTTTGCCTGTAGTATGCCCTTACCTCAAGAAAATTTTTATTAAAAATAAATCTTAAAATAAGTTATTAAAACTTTCTTTTATATTATATTTCTACGATAATAATATATAGGATAAGTTAAAGATTTACCAATCATTATGATATTGAGATGTTTAAAATTTATTATTATAAACCAAAAAAAAAAAAAGATGTCAACTCAACAACGGTCGAAGGTTGATGAATTGTAGAACTTGGAATAAGATTATGAATTTATTGATTCATTAATTTTATTTCTTCTCAAACTTTTGTGATAAATAGAAAGAGCTACACAACCATCACGACCTGATAACATCTCATCACCACTGCTATAAATCTAGCTTGATTAGTTTTGTTTTTGAATTTAAATCATTAAATTTAATAAAAACTCTGTTCTCATTATAATCAAGCTCAATATTAAGAACATATACAATTAGTCGATCTGTTGAATCAATTAATCTATGTTTGATGGTTATTTTATTAATATTAAGGTCAGTTTTATTGGGAAAGGGTACATATATTCGAATATTCGAATGTTATTATTATGGGTCTTACTCATAGATAATTTTCTCATATTCCCCATGGTAATAGACAGAGTTGAAGATCCAGCCTTTTTTGACCAGAGGATATTTTTAAATTCTTTAAACGGTCAATGCGATGATGACTATATATAATATAATTGATGATGCAACTATAATTAATGATAAAAATACTTCAAAGTTAGCTTTGATGAAGATGACGAATTAAAATACTGCCCAAAACACCCATGTGCTATAATTTTTTATGGTAATGATATTGATTTAGAACTTGAAAATCATTTCCAAATTGTTTAAGTTTCAATATATCAGAATGACCACCAAAATGTTAGTGTAAATGATGAATTTGGTAAAGAAGAATTACCGCAGGTAAGGATTCTACTGAACCAAATATTGATCTATATAACATAAATACCGACAAGGAATGATGCCATTTTAAAGCAACCATTTTAGCAAACTACATCAATTTATCTACAGAGAATTTTCGTCGTGTAATTTATAGAATCATTCTCAATTTTATCCCAGTATAAATATTTTTAATGAATTCCTTTTTCAAATGTTGCAAAAATTTAATTAAAATAAATAATTGAAATTTATCATTTAAACATGTTCGTGATGATTGAATTAGAAGATGATGATTTGAGACACATTTTATTTTTTAAAATATTAGCATTTTAGATAAATTAATATAAACTATATATTATTATTATTTATTATCAATTATTATTCAAAATTCTGGTAAACCGGTTTTTAACCGGAAAATAAATATTAAACCCTGCCTGCATACAGGACCCCGGGCAATCATATTCCTTAAATGGTTAGAACTCAACTCAAAAACCTTTGAATTTTAATTTTTAAGATTATCTTTCCATTTAAGGCAATAAAAAGTGGGTTTCTAATAGCTTTGCATGAACCTTGTTGATCGCCAATTATAAAGGGAAAAAGGCTTTAATTTTATCATATATATCTTGAAGAGCAAAAATGATACAAAATAAAATCATAATAGACCAAGCTTATCTAGCAATAATATAAATTTAACACAAAAACGCGATTTCGATTTTTTCGACAATAATGCTGATGAGGATATCAATGTCAAGGAAAATATTAAAGTAGATTATAATATTAATAAGATAATGATGATTGTGAAGTAGAATATAATACTTGTTAATTTGAGTTTTAATATTGGACGTGCAAATATTTCAAAATTAATTCATTAGAGTTAGTCATGAATTGATACATTATTATTATTCATATGTTCGCATTGAAATTGATTATTTAAATGATTGTAATGTGGTAAATTATATGCACATGTTACTCCTAAAGGAGTTATGTATTATTTTCGTAAATAAAACTTAATAATGGGCAGGTTAAAAAAAAATTTGTTGTTCTGATCGTAAATTTATAAAAATTACGAAATTGTCTGGAAGTTTCTGGGGTCCCGTTCCAAGTGCCTGTTTCTTTTGTTGCTAAATTTAGACCCATGGGGTTGTGAAACAATGTCTAATAAAAGTTTTAATTCATAAAATGTAAAAACTTTTTTGCTAAAATACCAGCGCTGCATCAATACCCACTACACTGACAACACAACACCAAAACAAATGGAAACGATACATCTCATAACGCTTATTTATTATCTCCAACAAGGGATAATAATTTTGAACCATATTTTTAAATAAATATGGTTTGTAGGGGCTAAATATGAGTACCTAGTTGCGTACACGCACGAGCGAAAGCCACGGTCTTATCAGCTGATGATACGATTTAGTTGTTAGGTAATTAGACCGTCGAATTTTATTTATTTTATTTAATAAATTGTCTAAAATCATATGGTATTGGAATAAACATTGGACGTTGGGACAACATGAAAAGCAGACAAGAATTATTAATATGGGATCCTTGAATACTGACTGATTGGATACTGGGTAAGGATGTTAGACAATTTGTTAATTTGACATCCAAGATGTTAATTCTGCATCCTAATTTTAGAAACCACTATA